CCACTTCTTGCCTTTGAGTGTTCTTGCTATTAACATTATTTGTAATTTAGTTTGTAATTCGTTAAAAAACAGTTTCTAGTTTAAAATAAATAAATAAATAAATAAAATACATGTTAATGTTAACGGTAGTTTTGGGAGTACCTTTTTTTTGTAAAAGAATTAAAAATTGCATATACAGTATATATGTTTTTCTACAACAAAAATGTTATTCAAATTTTAGAGAAAAAGCTGAATTTAGATAAATGTCAAAAAGGAGAAAAAAGAAAATCTAAAGAAGAAATTAAAGAGAATGAAATGATACTAACTGCCCTTTAATGTGTGATGAATTTGAAACATAACAGAATATCCAATTGCCCAATTGCTAAATATTTCTCTTTCTTCATTAACTCTTTTCATCTACCAAAAAAATTCCAATATTCTAAGCAAAGAAAATTAAATGGAAATAAACATTTTGAAAAAAATAAACTAAGGAAAATTCAGAATGTGTCAAATTTGTCATCATTATATCTGAGCAAAAACAAACTTAAAAGTCTCAAGCCTTTCTTCTTTTACTAGACTTACTTCCTTTTAACAGATTACTACCAAAATTACCTTGATGAAGGAGTTGAGCTCGATAAGCTGGAAGAGAAGTGGTAAGAAAAGTATGAAGTCGAACTGCCAAAAGAAATTTTAATCCACATTCATCAAGAGTTTCTCCACCTATAAAACAGAAAAGTGGTACTGACTTATTTTTTATTTGTAAAAAACATTTCATCAGCAAAACACAAATAAATGCTAATACTTCTGGCAAGCAACATGTCACAGCACCAAATAGAGGCAAAACATTCTGAAACTAAAAAAAGTGACCAGCCTAAATGTTTCCAATATTTTTTTACACAAGTATACATTACAGAAAGATGTAGTATAGTTACATAATTTGAAAAATAATAAAAGAGAGAATGAATTGACTCAGTGTCTGTGCATTTTTTATAATCAGACCTCCTCTGATCTGAATCTTATTTAAATTAAATATGACTGAATTTTTAAATAGTAGTTTAACTTTCTCTGTTGTTTATTTCCCAATTGATTCAAGTCATATACCCATTCCCAATAATCTGCAGCTAACACTGAAATAGTTATATGGTGAGAAGGCCTGATTTTTACTTTAAACAATTAAAAACATAAAACACCTATAATATATTTACATTAAAAATAGTATCTACTAGTATTACTTCTCAAAGTAAAAGTGTCATGAATTATAATATCTTTTCTTATATTTTTAATCTTTTTCTTAAATTTACCCCATATTTTCCTTTCAAGCAAAGCTTAAGGGGTGTAGTCTACTGATCTATTGGGTTGTCAGAAAAGTCATGACGTATTTTGTCTGTTTTTCAAAACTCATTTATTTATATAAAGAACAAAGATCAATCAATGATATATTGCCCATTTTGTTTGATAACCTTTTGCTATCTTTCAATGAGCTTCATAATTCCTTGTTCATAGAAGGACCAGTCTTTGTGAAAAACTGAACAAGGTGCTGATTTACAGCCTCATCTGAATTGAAC